ACGATGTTGAAATCACTCTTCCCTGCCTGTAAAACACTCTTTGTGGAGGTATCTCAGATCAAATGGGCTTTTGTGGGTATGTATGTGCATATTCGTCCATCTGTGTGTATTTGTGTCATCAGAGGGCCTGTTCTTTAATGTGTTTGCCTGCCTTCCAGCTCTATGTTAAACCCCTGCATTGCAGCACTGCCAGTGGGATTTCAGCAGGCACGGCCCTTTTTTTTCTCTAACCCTCCATCCTCACAATAGAGAGATTAAATTTGGGCCAGATCCCTCCTGCGTGGAAAGCTCTTCACTCACACATGCACATCTTCCAGTGTTCATACGCTACGCTCCAGAGAGCACAGGGCAGCTCAGAGCCCCCAAAAGTCTCCTGTAGCTCCTTTTACCCCACATGAATCTCAACCCCCCCTTCCCCTGTCTGAGTGGGAGCAACAGTCATGAAGAGCCACGTGTCTTGGAGACAGACACAGACAGAGGAACGAGAGACTGAGAGAGAGAAAAGGAAAACATGGGATCCTTGGGGGCTCAGCTATTCAAGTGCTGTCTTAGAGGCTGCACAGTAATCTTGTTAAAGAATGGGAAGGCTCTGTAGTTTGGTGCTGAGTGACTTTTCCGGTTGTTTGGACTACACGGTCCTCTTCATCAAACAGAGATCAATTGGGGAATAAGAGGCAAAATAAATCAGAGGATGTACTTTCTCTTGGACAGCAGTGTGATTTCAGCAGTTTGGAATATTAGAAGAAAGGTTTATTTCACGTCTCTTACCATGGACTTGTTTAATCAATGAGACAAGCTCACAGTCATAGACAGAGTCAGTAAAAACAATAACCAGCACAGACAGCTAAAGCAGTGCTGCAGGAATAATTTTCACTTAAAAGTACTGAAAATATTTTCAGCTGACAAACTAAAAAAGATAAGGAATTTTGTAACAGAAATGTTGGTAAGGAATGGTGTGATAATATTTTGGAGAAGACTACTTTTGGTTTCAGAAGATATTAACATAAAAGGAAATTTCAAGCAACTGTTACCATTGGTGTATCGCCAATCAGGTCCGAAAATAGCATAACAGTGTATTGCAGTGTATTCATATAGACATAGGATAAAGAAGTTGTCAGGGCCTTTAAGGAGCACTTTTATGCTACTGTATCACAGAATCACAGTTGAGATAGTAGAGATCTATAGTATCATAACAAGACATTATTTGAGTGTATGTCCAAAGGTATATCAGTAACCTAAACAAGGTTCAGGCTTATGTGCTGATGACTTGGTGAAGTTTTTTCATGGGCATGAGCGTGATTAAACAATTTAGATTTGTTTGATATGTAGTCATGAAAAATGAAACTGAAAGTTTAGAAATTTGTTCACATCCAGTGACACCTACATCCTGACATTTAATGTTTTGGCTTATCAGTGTTCATTTTGATATGACTCCAATGCCAGCATGGTTCACTGGCATGGACGTGAAATGAAAACCAAGGGGCAGGGCCTTCATTAAATTCCCTTTTCGTTTTTTTTCCTGCATACTTTGGTCCCTTGGGGACATAAATAGGTGTGGGAAAGATCCAATTATGTTCACCAAGAGGCAATTCCCTTTAACGTGATTGTATCTGAGAATCTGCCCATCCGGGCCCGTCGCCCCCGTCAGCTTGCCAATTTATGATATTTCAAGATTTTTTTTTGCTTTTTTGAGTGAGATTTGACCTTGTATTTGTCCTGACTGGATAATGTTCATTTCTGCTGAGATTATGTTATTATACACACATTTAACAGGCAAGAACATTTGAGGTTAGAGATTCAAATCAGGTCTGATTGAATGTTTTTGGTTTTGGATTTTGAATTCAGTCCTTGTCGTTTGACCTTTCTGTTTGAATCAATGAAAATGCCACTTGTATTGTTGGAGTGCTGCAGTGTGAAGCAGTGTTGAAGCACTGCCTCTCTCCTCCCTGTCACTGCGGCCCCTCAGCTACATGCAAACAACTCACTTTGACAGTTTCATAGTATTTCTATGAGGACTGCAGGTATTTCACTATGCAGGAACCTAAAGGGTCCCCAGTTTATACTCCTCCTCCTATTATTCTTCTGTGCACTGGTATTCATCATCAGCAGTCTTGTTGTCTAAAAATGCTTTAAGGTACCTGTGATAGAATTAAAAGGTCACCACAAGAGGTATATTGAAAACGTTTCAGTATTATATCAGTGTTTGTTTTTATCATAGATTTTATGGCGTCAGCAGGACCGAATGATGGATTGATCTCAAGGGTGTTACTGACTTAAATAGCAACTGTAATGGGAAAATGAACAGTTTTGAGTATCTTTAGTCAGATCCATATATAATGTAATGCAATTCACAGAAGAAAGGTGTTCTGGTGATGGCAGATTTAAATTGTGTGAACTGTTTGCCTTCACTGAATTGCACAAATTGAAGTTGGTTATCTCTCCCTGTGGATGTCTTTCATGATACAATTACAATAAAGCAATTAAGTCCAGTGACTCATGAAATTGATTGTTTTGCAAAAATAGGAGAAGTAAATTGGGCCACAGATACAGAATATTCTCAAAGGTCTACAGAAGCACACGTACAGAATTTGACTGATCCCAAAAGTTCTTTAATTCTCCCATCAGCAGCATGTTTTTCCACTAGGGTAGCTTTGCATGACTCACACTTTAAAAACATCCTTATTTATCTTATACTGGCACTTCATGCAGCTTTTCAGTTCATCCGCTGTATGTTACAAGCTGTCTCTTTAAGCCACCGCACCATCCCTAAAAGCCTACTTTCTTCTGATTGGTCAGCTTTGCAGAAAGCCTGCCGAGGGGCTGATGAGCAGACATCAGCTAGTCATGTAAAGTCGAAACACTGCATTGGAAACATTGCATTCAGAGCAGTCTGAATTCTCAGCTTTTTACTTACAGGGATTACTTTTACATATGTTTACCTAATTATTTGACACTTTGGCCTTAATATCAACATTCATCATTGTAACAGAGAGACTGAGACTAAGGAAAAGCATAATAGGTCTCCTTTAAAGGAATAGGCTTTCTTGAATTAAATGAGAAGATCAATACCAGTTTCATATCTGTACGGTTATAATGCTACCACCAAGGAAGGGTTAGCTCGTTTTAGCAAAAACACTTGGAAACCTGGTTCTGTCCAAAGGTTAAAACAAAATCTGTCTATACTAGCACTTGTAAAGCTCACTAATTAAACAGACTAACATGTTTTATCTCGTCTTTCCATGGAAAAATCACTGTGACGGAGACTCAAAGGAAGTTCCTTCACCCGGCCAAGAAACAGTACAGCATATAATCCCCAGAAAAAACACAATTTGTCATTTTTACACTTGTTTTGTACGGATTAAACAGACATGTTTAGCATGTTAATTAATGAGCTTTAGAGGTGCAGGTAAGGCAGATTTTCTTACCTTTTATTATTATTTTCTTACCTTTATTGTATTATTCTGACAGAACCAGGATAACTGTTTCCCCCTGTATCCAGCCGTGTTGGGCAAGTTACTTTTAAAAAGTAATTAGTTACAGTTACAAGTTACTTCTTCCAAAAAGTAACTAAATTAGTTACTCAGTTACAAATTATAAAAGTAACTAGTTACATAAGAAAGTAACTACCCGCCCAACTCTACCTCTGATTGGCTTACCATGAAATTTTACTCAACCTCAGCCAGTCTCGTGCACTGCCCACTAACCAAGGAAGAACAGTAAAAAAAAGTCTTTGCTTCTCGGCTCAGAGACCTAGTTGGTCTGATGAAAAAAACAACTTCAATTATAGTAACGCACCGCATTTTTTGGCAGTAACGGTAACGGCGTTATTAATATGGGAAGAGCAATCAATTAGATTACTCGTTACTGAAAAAAGTAACGCCGTTAGTAACACCGTTATTTATAACAACGTTATTCCCATCACTGGTATCCAGTGTTCAAACTAAGAATCAGAATCAGAATCAGAAATAATTTATTGGGGGAAATATTTAGCCAGGCTAACCATATCCTGGCTGTAGCTTTATTTATAATGTATAGACACATCACAGTGTATCTTTTTATTTCATATTATCTCCCAAAATGTCAAATTATTTCTTTAACATTTGAGTATTTTTTTTACAGTGGTTGATAGAACAGCTGGGGTTATCTGACTTATAAAAAAGTAAATGAAGAATCAATCATGCTCTAAAATGTGTCAATTGAGTATATAATCTAATATAGGACTTAGGAGCAAATATTTATTTACCAAAACTAATTTTGTTCTCCTAAAATTATTTAAACCATAGAGATTGGAAAATGTGTTGCTTTGATTAGATTATATTATTTGTCTAACAGAAGCATTAGTCTGTTGTTGTTCATTTGTATACACCTGCCTGTTATATTTGTCAGTAGAACACCTCACATCCTGATAAATTAATCTTTAAAGGTTACCCTGGAAACAGCATTGTGGAGACATCTTGGAAATAGAAAGGTTCAGAATCTATTTTGTGAACTAAAATCTCTTTTGACTAAGGTTTTAACTTTGTGTGGTGGTTTAGCAAGCGGTTTTAGGTATAGCACATTTATTCACAGCCTGTTTGTAAAGAGAAAGTCATTACAGTGATACTTCAGTAATGACAATGATTTAATTCAATAACTGGTGAGCTGCAGTGTGCAACGGAGAGCTGCCAGTGATAATTCATTCGTCCAGCAGCTTGCGGATCAGAAAAGTTGCCTTCAGGCATATATCAGCTTGTTTATGTGAAGAAGACAGCTATCAATATTCTTCTCTTGACTCAAAATGATTTTTGCTGCAACCATTTTGCATAGTGTCCCTTTTGTTTTTTTTTATCCTTATTTTATTGTTTTAATTCAGCAATGCTCATCACACTAGCTTCATGGAGTGGGATTTAATACTATGGATTATCTTGAAGTGATGTTTTCAAATCTCAACAATACAGATGTTTCTTCGACTCAAAGAGCGAGCTAAGCCTCACTGGGTTCACACTGTCTTTCTCTTACAGGGTTTCTGACTGACAACATTCTCATTCTGATTGCCTCCAGCCAACCTTTCGAGGATTCAAGATTTGGCTGTAAGTATCCTACGAGCAAAGATATTATGTGCGTGAGTCGAGTCTCTGAGCCAGCACTGTGAACTTGAAGGTTGTGAGATAGAGAGAGAATGGGGGGGTTGGGGGAGGAGATACTCCACTCCATCAGAGCAGTCCAGTGTCATTGCCGTGACCGTCCTCTTTAAGAGAAGACAGATCACTGCACATTGTTAGATGCCTCCATCCTCTGCAACTCCCCTCACAGAAACATCATCCATTTCTTGTCATTTGAGAAATCCAGCTTGCCTACTCTCTCTTACTGTCCGCTGAAGGCACGGCCCAGATGGTGGACTGTCTATGGCTGGATGCTCTGTGAAACTGTCCAGTAATATAACACTCTGATGAGATGTGGGGTGAAACACTAATTGGCCTGAAAGGAAAATTCTGTTGATTATCATTAATTGCTTGGTAGGAATGAATTTTGAGTTATTTGTACTTCATACCAAATTATTTCAGGGGAATATTTTTGGGCTTCATGTGGAATCCAAAACTGAAATCAGTACAGTATTACAGTATATGTAAATTGGTATGAGCCTTGCGTTATCACATGTTTTGGACTCCACTAGATGTCAGCATGAAACCTTGTGTGTTGGGTTTTCCCCACTCTCCCATCTGTTCTTAGAAAAGCTTTGCATGTGCCAGGGAGGAGGGAGCCCACTGCAGTGTGTAGTGAAGTAGTGTAGTGAGAAAAGGCGTGGTGAGGATGAAGGTGCAGCCCACTGTGAACAAGCATGATTTACTGTTGGACTGGCTCTTTGTGTGCCAGTCTCCATCATACCCTGCACACTCCAGCACTCAGCTGATTAATCAGAGTCATTTCAATGAGTGATGGAAGCTCCAGTGCCTCAGGGGCTACAGAAAGCTAATAAACCTCAGCGGACAATAGCCACGCCTGGAAGGACGGTTACCGGCCGCCACTTTTATACTGGCTCTGTTACTACAGCCATCTGCCATTATCCAGCCCTCACTGCTCTGTGTCAGCCTCATCGTTATTAACATTGATCAGCTCAGCATCTACTGAATGAGAATTTATACCCTGGGGACTGGTGATATACAATTAGCTGTTTGAATATGCAGCAACATTAGAGGCTGTAGCTTTTAATAAATGCATAGTGATAGACCAACTGGAGAAAGGCACATAAATTTGTCCTTATCTCAGGTTTTGGGTCAAGGCACCATTGATGAATAAGACGAAAAAAGCAGTCCTTCTTTTCTATCAAAATTAAACTTAACATAATGAAGAAGAACTTAACAAAATCATATTTTAACTTTTTAAATCTGCATTAAGTCATGTTTGGGACTCACTATGTTTTAAGATGATAAAATCAACTTACAGTTACAAATCCAGTGGAAGATATTACTCAAGCTGAAAGACGCTCCGTAGAGCTGAGGTGGACTGTGATCCACTGTTAACATGAAAATATGGCTCATATCAGCGTTAAATATTGTGTTATTCCAAAGTATGAAAACGTCATCCAACTGCTTTCTTTGTCTGACCAACAGTACAAAACCTAACCCTAACCCGTGAATATAACACAGGATAAAGCAGCAAGTTGTTTCAATTACTGAAATTATCGATTATCAGTAATTGTTTTGTATATTAATCTTTTATTTTTTTAGCTCTACACACAAGGCTCATACATATATCCTTTTATTAAAATTGCCTTCCTTGTTGCTAAAATAAATGTTCTTATTATAATGTAGAATTACAATAGTTGTGAGAATTGATTTGTACAATCTATTAAACTACAGTTGTTATTGAAACAGATTTCATCTCAGAATTTGGCATTTAATCCTAAATTGCTGTTTTCATCCACAGTACCACTTCAATCGTCAGTTGCAGGAACAGAAACTGTAGCCGTTTCGGAACAACAGAATGGTTTCCCTCTCACTCTGCCAGATCTAAAATGGGCCAACACAATGAAACACAAAGTACTGCATTGGTGCAATCTTCTCGATATCTGCAGTAAAGCATCCGGCACAAAACCAGATCTAATCTCGTACTGCTGTCATTGTTGTATATTTACAACACATACATGAAGGCAGCATTCACACAAAAACGTTGAGATTGGGTGAGCGACAACAATGCTTTGCTGCCTCATGTTCAGGGCCACTGCAGACATAAATCTTAAAACTTCACTTGATAAAAAAAAACCCTAGATGCCGTCTATGTTTGTGCATGTGTTCTGCATCTTTTTATGCAAATGTAGCGTTTTTTTGTTCTCGTGTCACCAGTATAGAAAAGAAGCCTCAGTCTTTTTTCCTGATCGTCCTTCCTACTTTCCTTTTTTCCTCTATTCTTGTTCTGTGAAATATCTCTTCTGTCGCTAAGAAAACTACCTTGTTAAAACATAGCCATGTGACTTAAATCATTGCACAGAAGAGCACATGGTGTTACATGTGATTTGGTAGAAAAGGCTGGGTAGGGCATTGCATTTTAATAGCTTCCTATACTCATTGACTGAACAGCTTTAATACGTGGCTGTAAGCTCCATGCAGTTAGTCTCCACAGCACGCATGCCTTATTAAATATGTATTCTAAGTTGCACTGAATTCCTCTGGAGACTTGGCCTGTTTAGTTCAAAGTAAGGTCTGATGTGGGTTTTTTTCTTTTTACTCAATGAAATGATGCTGATGATTACTAGATTATCACTGTATTTGGAGTCTGCTGTAGCAGCAGTAGTCAGCAGCATAAAACTAGGATAAAACCATTCATACTTGTCATCTGTTGCTACAAATCATTATGCATGTGTTTTATGTCACATGGGACAGGTGCCAGCATTGCTCACCATAGGTGTACCCAGCATGCTATGAATCTTGTTTGGATCAATATCCTGTTCCCACTCAGACACTGAATCAGACCTGCTTTGGTTTCAGGGCACTAGGCTATAAGATAGCTCTTCCAATGTGGGAAAGAATGCACAAAGGAATACAGGCTGGATTAGCTTTCATAGATTCAATAGCAAGGCCTAAATGTCATACAGCTTTGATGATGAGGAGGGAATATAAACTATTCGGCTTTATTTAGTGCAAATCGCAGTGGAAGGCTGACATTTTACTTTCACCCTACACAAAACAATATGGAGGCGTAGATATGGAGGAAGAGCTGAATCAGCCACCTTCCAGGTTTGATTGTATGTCTGCTGACCTAAAGGCGATATTCTGTATGTTTTATTTTTTGTCAGCAAATCTGTTGCGAACAAGTTTGTCTGTGTAGCCAAAGCCTGATTCAGCTTATCCATCTATGATTTAGACCTCCATGCTTACGACAAATCAAATGTGTATCAATCCACAGCTGTAAATAGTTCCCTGGTACTGTACCATTTACTCAAGTTTGAGTAAAATTTGCCAAAAAAAAAATTTAGCAAAGTAGTTAGCCTTTTTTAAAAAATCTGTCAAAATCTTGAAACTAGTTGTTAAGGATTTACGTCTTCAGTAGGAATAAATTAGCTTGGTGCCACAGACAGGGTAGGGAAGTGGGAAAGTATAGCAACACGTTGGTTTTTATTTTTTTATGGCATTTGCTGACAGTAAGAAAAATATAGAATAACACTAGCCTCAGCCCTTAAAGTTTGTACACTTTTGAAACCTAAAACCAAAAGTGAAGAAATAAAGATATATAGAGTATGTCTGGATGTACAGAGCTTTACTTGTGTCAATTTTCTTAATGTAAGTATTATTGGGGCTTTACCTCCCCTATAATTACAAAATCACTTCTAACTCAAAACCAACAACCATACATTACTACCTGACCCCAACACTGATAAATGGTATTACCACAGACAGGGAACGAATTACATTCCTCTCTCTCCAGTTGTGAGTTTTGAAATTACAAAAAGCCATCTCTCTCTCCCTTCCATTTTCACTGATTGAGACTTTATTGATTTCTTGTTCAAGCGCTCATTGCTGGCCAATAAGGAGGGTGATTCACTTAGGGGACGATGATAATTCTCGGTGACACACAGTAATACCCAAAGGGCTCCAAACTGTCTGGTCGTCGGTGTTAAGCGAATGGGTGCGTCACATTTTGTTATTAAACAAGCTGATTTACACAGTAATATGCCTACTATAAGGGGAAAAAACATGGTGAGTTAAAAGGTTTGAGGGCATTAATGATGATTAAGTAAGTATTTATAATATTTTTTAATTTCTAAGCCTTTTTTTAGGGGATTTTTATACTCAAACCCTTCTTTACTAAGCTGCAGGTACTTATATGAAGCAGTGTGAGAAAGAAAGAAAATAAAGTGTTGATCAGCAAAATCTTTTTAAATCATGGCAAAAACTCTTGCATATTTATATCCTTACATACGCCATACCCTGCTAGTCTTTGTGCCGTTGTCGTAGGATTAAAATCTTCTTTGATGACAGTGGGAGTGGTGCAAGTCCAAAGACATAATTCAGATAAATGGATAGAGATGGTAAGAGCGAAAGAGACTCAGCAGCAGACAACTGCTGCGGTAAGCACACAGCAAATGACAGGCTTGTCTTCGTCCTATTATCAAGAGGTCTCATCTACAGTATGTCATTTTCTTCCATTTACTTATTTACATCCACTTTTTTTTTTCATGCAGTTGCAGCCTTGTAAGCTCAGGAACATATCTGAGCCTGGTGGGGTCCCCAAGCAGCGGTGCTGTTAGAGCCAGGGTGTGGGTGCCGGGTCGGACAGCAGAGCATATGGATGGTTTTGGATTGCCCTTATGCGCTGGACCGGTGTGCATATTGCTGCATACAGCACCTTGTGAGCAGCATCACAAATCAGCCGGCTGAGTAGTGAGAGCTGGAGTGGACGGGAGAGATGGAAGATGGAGAGAAAGCAAAAGGGGAAGGGAGAGGGAGAGGGGAAAGGGGAGGGGGATCCTTTCAGTGACAGAGATAGAAAGAGTGGAGAGAGGGAGAGGAGGAGGGGATTCAGAGAAACAGAGGTGGGGGTAGTCACCGAGAGAATGAGTGAGCGTGTGTGCGTGTATGTGTGTATGTGTGTG